ACTTCACACCCATTGTTGAGCTTTGCATTTGCGATTATCACGTAAGAAATGCAGCACTTGTGTCAACGCAGTTTCAACACGAGCACATCATCACGTGGTTCTTGTAGCCTTACCACTCCCATGTGGTTTGTATGAGTCAGTCACCATCTCACTACCCCTGTCAACGACGTCAAGCTAATTCCACGCTCTTCGAGTTTCGGGCCGCAGATCCCTTCGCCTCTACCATGAAAGAAGTCTCCATAACCACCAGCCGACGAAAAGTCGTACTATTGGTTTGCAGTCTGGACAACGTCCACTGAGGGTTTCGCAACAACAACTGCCTCTAGCGTCCTTTCTAGCTCGTCGATACCGGCAATCCCGAAAAACTCGCCACGATTACCTCGCGTAGATAAATCCAGCAGAATAACCTCATCGATGCCCGCGCGGTCGTCCTTCGAGTCTTCAGTCGAATATACGGCAAATTTGGCACCTTGAAACGTTTCATTGTGGAAGGTGTAGGCCGTTGCACACAAAATGAGAACGTTCAGTCGGGGAAGCGAGGACTTGGGCAACTGCAGGCACACCTTGCTAAACTTCTTGCACTCCTCACGTATGGTTTCCCCACCGACCTTGCTGGACTTGGCATAGTTTTTAACGGCGAGTCCAACTGTTACCATGGTACCTGACGACGTCGTCATCAGCAGGATGTCGGGCGAAGATGACTTCGGAAGCGGCTTCAGGCTCAATTGTCCGTTTTCGAGCGCAAGGCCGTGGATCTCCATCAGCAACGCCTTCAAATCTCCCGGATGCGCGGTGGCTTCGGTTAACGACGACTGCTTCTTTCCCTTCGATGTTACTTGCGGCATTTCATATGTGATCTTCGCGAACTTCACCTTTGTGCGCCCAAAAGATGTATCTGCGAAAAATTCGGAGAGTACGTCGCTCGGACGTTTCTCCTCGTCAAAAACCTCCTGGAACCGCGTCATGCAAAGCAGCTCGAACTCGTCAGGATGATCGATTGCCACCCGACCAAGTGCTGGTGCAGCTCTTTCAAGAAGTTCTCTGAACGGGTAGAAGGAACTTAGTGCCGCGTGCTGGATATGTTGTGGTATATGCAGCCTCGCCGTCTTCGATTCTCCTTCCCATGCGATTCCAAACATATCCACAATGGCGTCGTATGTGATTTCTTTGCCGCCCTGGTCTCTCCACCTTTGTCCTAGGTCTACTGCTTCGTCAGCGAGTAGAGCAGTCATCAAAAATCGAAGTGGCTCCTTGAAATTCCGCAAGCGTTCGCCAAACCGTTGCCAGTTCGTTCTTTCCACCAACTGGAAAGGCGCATCATACGAGTTAAGTTCCTCAACGGATTGGCAAACTTTGAAAGCGCGAAGTAGTGATCGTGGATGTCCGAATGTTGTCTTGAACAGATGGTCAGCACTCTTCTTCACTTCGCCATCACTGAGATTAAAGTGCTGCTGAATGGTTTCCGTCTTCCCCTTGTCCCAATACGTCGTCTTAATAATTTCCTCGATTGCAGGTGACCGGAGAAGATTGAGGCTGAGTCTTTGGAAATCGACAGGGCTGTTTGTCATTTCAACGCATGCGGTTGGTCTCAAACCGACGTAGCTCAGGAACGTTGCGCGACAGCAATCAAGAAAAATAACTTCTTGTTGGGAAACAACGGCCAAAGGGTCTGTGTGCAGAATTCCACGAAGCATTCTCGTTTGGCGATGTCACCAAGCTTGACAGCGTCGAAGGCCGCGCCGATTTCGTCGATCACGATGAACAGTGGCCCAACTTCTTTCGTCAAACGTTTGAAGACTGACACCAGACCTGAATTGGTTTGCAGCGACTGGGGAGTGAGAGCACCGGGTAATCTGTCGTATTTCTCCTCGAAGAAATAACTGATCTGCTCCACGAAAGCAGCGTCGGCCATATCAGAATTAAACTTCAACTCGCTATCCAGGAGGTCCGTTCGGGAAAACTGAATCTGGATCGTGTGGCACTGCGTCAACGTGTCCAGGAAACTGTCTTTCCCTCGGTTGGGGTGAGCAGCCCACATTTGTTGGCATCTCCGAATGTACTCGGCACCAAACCTTGTTTTCCCGATGCCAAACACAGTGTCCACCAAGGGGACCACCCAATTTTCACCACCAAGTCCGATATTTGCGCGATTATAGTTGTTTGCGTGGAACTCTTGAAGTTGTAGCGTCGCGTGCTCACGGTTCACGAAAGCCATGATGCCATCTTGCACAGAATAGACAGGTTCCTCTTTTCGCCACACCCACTCCGTAACGCCAGCGGTTCTGTGTCGCTTCGCTGGACTCTCATCAGCTTCATCCTTCGTTTCCTCCCGCCCTCTTGTCCGTAGCACGGTCACGACGAGCGCCTCCTCCATCGTTTGACCAAGCAAAGCAATGAGTGACTTGGCCT